TTTTTTGTGTGTGAATTGAGTGATAGTTTACATGGGAGAACATAGGTTTACATTCATCCTTCCTATCATATTTCATTTCATTGCAATGATTACAATCTCCATTCATCATCATTCAATGGCATTTGCTTCCATTCCTTCTTGTTTTTTGTTTTTTGTTTTGGATGTACCACAAATCACTCAGGAATAGACAGCCATTTAAACAACCAAAGGGCACAACCCACAAGCCTGTCCCCTGGCTGTCAGCACACAGCCCCTCTCTCTCCTTGAGTCCAGGGTCCCCAGCTGCTTCATCTCTCCACATCATCGTCTCTGCCTCCATCTCTGGTGTCACTGCTTCTCTAGATAGGGTCCTGCACTCTGCTCTTCTCCCTTCGTGGTCCCAAGGTCCTCCAGTCCGGGACTGCAGGATCAACCACGTCCCTCCTTTAGTTACAAAATGGCTACCCTTAACATTTGCAGCACTCGCAATCAGTCCTGATTAGCAATTATTCATTACTGAACCACAAGAGTCATCTCCATGTCCTTTCACTAGCCCTGTCCAGACAGGTTGGAAGCCACTCAGTGGAGATTCTACCGTCTCCTGTATCCTCTGAAACTAGGCTCCCTCTTGAAAGCTTGTCAGCCAGTCACTTCGTGCCATTGTAGTCTCCCCATTTAGGGTAGCCAATGTCTTAAGTTGCCAATCTCTGTCAACTCTGTGTACAGAGGAGGTGGGAACGATTCTTGCTGTAAAGATTTGTTCCCTTTTTAGCTACTACATCCATAGTATAGATCAAGTTCATCAAATTGTATCAGATTACTCTTTTTTTTTTTTTCCTTTTCTTTCTTCCTCTAGTTGAGTTTTGGTCATCCAGCCATTGAAGCCAGGTCAAATGGGTGTTATCTGCAAGTATAGGTGTTCTTGTGCATCTCCACTCACTTCATATCATCTGGACGCTTGCTTCACTCTCCACTTTAGTCCTCTGTGGCCATGTCCCTATCCCTGGGTCTAGGAGTCCCCAGGTCTCACCATACTACTGGCCAACCAGCTCTCAATCCAGGTGGACAGGAGTCTGCTGAACGTGGTCGCACTTGGCCGACAGCTTCATTGCTGTTTTTCCCCGACTTCTTATCTGTAGACCAACGTGGTCACCAGCAAGACCATATTCTTGCTCGTGTATTCCCCTTGAGTCTCAGTCTTGGAAGGGGGTTTGCCCTGAGGGGACCCAACTGGTTGCCCTGATGGCTCCCTGGCAAACAACTTGCTTGTTCCTGTAGTAGTCGATGGGACTGCCCTTAATGTTTTTTATTTTTCCTGCTGTTCTTTCTTTCAAGAAGTATCTTCTGTTCTTCTAAGCTGCTCCAGACTGGTCTGCTTGTCCTTTCAAGTGGAAATTTCCCACCTTAGAAAATTCTGGATGGAGATCCAGATTCCACCTACGGTCTTGCTATATTTATTTTTTATAGTGACTATTTTCTAATTCAAGTTCTAGTGTGCACTGTAGGATAAGCACTGAACTGCTACTTGTAAAGTCAGTGGTATAAACCTACCAGCCATTCCTCAGCAATTATGTACAGGGTTGCTATTGGTTGGAACTGATTAGAAGACATTAAACAATAATGTTTTCTAGTTAATCATTGTTAAAATATCAAATCTTAACATGTTTTAACTCAGCAAGTTTAGTACAACTTAAAAAAAAAACTATTATCAGACATAAAAAAATAACCTCTGTTATTGGGAATGAAAGATGGTGGATTGGGTATATAAATTTACTATTTGTCTTAGGTTGTGTTCTCTATAGAAATAAAATAAGTGAAATATATTTTCTTATGTGCTGTTAAGTCTGTTATGACTCAGCAACCTGATGTATGATAGGATGAAACACTGCCCAATCCTTACAATTGTTAGTTTGAGCTTATCTTTTTTTCCCCTGAGTTAATTCATTTCATTGGGGGGTTGTCTTTTTCACTGACCCTCCATTTTACCAAGCAAATCTATTCCTGGGATGTCCTCCAGGAATTGGTCCAAAGTATTTGAGGTGAAGTTGTAATAGTTCTAGGAGCATTCTGGCTATACTTTTAACAATATAGATTTGTCTGTTCTTTTGGCAATCCATGGTACTATTAATATTTGAATTATTAATGAATAATTCAGATTCATCGGCTTTATGGTCTTTCTTCCAACACTCTTCTCAGTTTGTCATACTGTGGTAGCTTGTATGTTGCTGTGAATCTGGATTCTGTACCACTGGTATTTTAAATACTAACAGGAACGCCCTTGGTGGACCAGATTCAGATGAGCTTCCAGACTAAGAAACACTAGGACATAGAAATGGACTACTTCCGAATATTTAGTCACTGAAAACCTTACAGCAGCAGTGGCATACTGATAGAGAGAGCACCAGAATATTGTCAGATACAGTTCTGGAAGATGAGTCCCACAAGTTGGAAGGCACTAATGACTAGGAAAGAGTTGCTACCTCAAAGTAGAGTTTGACGTGATGAAGCGAATATAGTAAAGCTTTCAGGATCTCTATTTGCTGATGGGGTGCAACTGAAAATGAGAAATAGATACAAATATCCATTAATAATCAGAACATGGAATGGACAAAGTCTGAATCTAGGAAAATGGGAAGATGTCAAAAATGAACTGAAACACATAAGCATTGATAGCATAGGCATTAGCTGAAATGGACTGGTATTGGTCATTTTGAATCTGACAGTCATATGGTTTACTGTGCCAGGCTGGCAAATTAAAGAGGAATGCCATGGCATTCATCATCAAAAAGAACATTTCAAAATCTATCTTGAAGTACAATGCTATCTGTGATAGGATAATATCCATATGCTTACAAGGATGACCAGTTAATACTACTTTTCAAATTTATGCAACAACCACTAAAGCCAGTGATGATGAAATTGAATTCTACCATCTTTGTCTGAAATTGGGCATATATGCAATGAAGATTACTGATAATCACTGGCGATTGAAATGCAAAGGTTGGAAACAGAAAGGACCAGTAGTTGGAAAATTTGACTTTGGTGATAGAAACAATGCTGAAGATCACATGACACACTTTTGCAAGACCAATGATTTCTTCATTACAAATACCTTTTTAAAACAACATAAAAGATGACTGTACACATGGACCTCACCAAATGGAATACATAGAAATTAAATTGACTACATCTGTGGAAAGAAAAGAGACAGTGGGAAGCCTCCATATTATCCACTAAAACAAGGGTAGGGGCAGACTAGAACACCAATTGTTCATATGCAAGTTTAGGCTGAAGCTTAAGAAAATTCAAACAAGTTCATAATAGCCAAAATATGACCTTGAACATATCCCACCTGAATTTAGAGATCATTTCAACGACAGATTTGATGCTCTAGATACAAAAGACATGCCCAGAAGAGTTGTGGATGACATTAAGAACATCATACAGAAAGAAAGCAAATGGTCATTAAGACAAGAAAGAAGGAAAAGACCAAAATGGATGTCAGAAGAGATTCTGAACCTTACACTTCAGTATAATGATGCTAAAACAAATGGAAGCAATGAGGAATTGAACAC